GGACCTGATCCTTGTAACTTAGCAATAAGGATGAAAATCTTCGTATAAAATTACTACTAATTTTCTGTCATTAGATTGTCCCAGCCGATGAAGTTCGCTTGTTGACCGGAAACGCTCTTTGCTGTCAGAGCACCACCTTTTTATCCCCTGCATTGCGTAAGTCAAGTTGTGTGTGCACGCGGTTTTTTTTTATTTTATTTTATTTTATTTTATTTTATTTTGATGCATACTGTTTATGAGACACACCGTTTTGGTTTATTTACTAAGAAGTCACCCTCCTGGCGAGTTATCCGCTATGGGCGGCTCCCGAACCAGCAACTTTTTTGTGTGCACTGGTTATGTAAAGGGTACGTAGTGTGAACATTTTTTAAAGAACGGACAAACGCCTAAGAGCTGAATAGGTGTTTCTCCACAAACCACTATGTGGTATGAACACAGGTTCAAGCACGGCTGACGTTTTATTAACGTTTCGAATAGCCAGATAGCTAAGGATATTTCCTTACGCACCATTACCATTTAATATGACTATTCCTTCAAATCCAACGCTTGAAAGCTTTGTCGTTCATTCAGCAAAAAATAACAATGTCAAAAATTGTTTAAAGGGGAAAATGCAATGTAAAGGGAGTTGATGGGTGTTTTAGCTAAAGGTAGATTTAGATCTTGTTTCCAGTACAACTAACACATTCATGACTATGCACCTATAGCAGATGAGCCAATTGGCTATTCCACGCCTATGTGTAGTTATGAACAGCTTTCTTGCATTGACGCTTTTTGAGATGCTTTATTTTAATTGCAAAGCCTAGTCATCAAAAGCATCAGATTTAAAAAGCTACAAGAGGCCTCACCTGTACATTATCTAATTATTGGGGTCCCAATTTAAAATTTTAATCCCACAATTATATGCTTGTCCCCACAGGCCCCTATCCAGCTGTCACGTGTCTTATAAAAAAAGAACAGCCGAGGACTGTTTCAGCATGGGCAGTTGGGCGTTACATATTCCAAGATGAAATAAGGCGTTTAAAAATGAAAATTAATCAAACGTGAGATACAATCTTACAAAGATGTATAACCTGAGCAAGGGATGTACTGCGTTTTCATCTCCAGTTGTCCCGGGGTGCAATGCGGCTCAGGTAAAACAACGATTACAAGTGGCTATGGACCTATTTAAAAAAGGGAATTTTATAAGTGAATTTAAATTTCTGAAACTAAACAGTCAAACACATCCTTTTGATTTTCTCTTAGATTGGTAGTATTGTCATTATTTCTACAAGCTGTAATGTGATTTCGAAACAAGTCAGCTCCAACATGATTTAACTAGTACATGTACCTGATCCATTAGTGGCGCCTTCGTTATATTTTTACGTCCACCAAACAATTGCTGTTTAAACAGATTACAGCATGATTTGGGCCAAAAATCATATCAATGATCCTTTAGTTTATATGAAAATCATAGAGCAATGGAGTATTTAATTATATTGAGGGATTATTTCAAGTTTAGTGAAAAACATGAACTGGCAAAAATGTAAAAATATAAAATCTAATGATAACCCAAATAACATGAATGCTTTCTCATTGTTCTTTCACAAAACTGATGTTCAAATGCATAACTAAACAAAAACATATTCCAAAGAAAAATTAGAGACATCCATTCCGTTTCACAATGAGAATGTGAACAAGTATTTTTATTGTAACGACGACGACGTTCTGGATTCTTCACTCATTTATTCCCCACTCATTTTGCACACAATTTTACCAGTATTTATACTCTAATGCTCCGTACTGATCACGCGTGTTATTATGTTCCTTTCATTGTTTATGGCGTGATTTCCAGGAACTTTCTATTCTCATGTTGATTTTACCATAGAACGGTCCCTTATTAGGCAATGTCTAAGAGCCTTGTTTTCTACTAAAATTATCAGAAATATTATTTGCATTACTCATACTTGAATCAGATCCAAAACTCAGTTATCATGTGATAAACAGTTGACCGAAATCTATCATGAACTTAACCAATCACATAAACTGTTACTGACTACATGTATGACCTTTTTCATCTTTTTCTGACACTAAAACATGTTTTACATTTGTTGACTCATGATGAAACTTAACTTGCACTCAATATCTCTCTAACTTTTCATCTATTTGATTTCCCTTTTATTACTAATTGTAATTAGCGTAAGCGTAAGTCATAAATTTTACAACATACACCCTGTCTTCAAAAGAATTCGTCCTCGAATTCTAAAACTTTACAACATACAATCCTTTTTGAATTTTTTTAAGCAAAGCAAATACTGAATAACATAAAATTTGCAAATCATTTAATCATAAACTCGTCATATTATCTTAGTGAAGTAAAAATATACTTGACATTTAAAACCTGTTTCATGCATCAATGTTCAATGTATGTACAAATAGGACATTGTGTCATAACATTTATTGTAAGAACACAATTACCGCCAGTTCTTATTATTTTAAGAATACGTCGTCAAAATCTATTATATGATATATATTTATCCTTCTTCAGTAGTAATTCATTATAATATTTAACGGCAATATTTAAACGTCGCAGTAATAACATAATAACTTTGACTAAATCAGTAACATTCCATGCATAATATATTGCTTGAATAATACATTTACCAATACCTGATGGTATTTGATGCAACATATAAACTATGTAATCTTCTGATAACATCATATAATGAGGGGAACCTATTAACTTTACAAAGTCTAACTGCTTCTCTGTTGAATCAAACTTTACAAAAACATCAGCAAAATTGATTCGTTTATCAATTCTAAAAATAACTTTATCTGAAAATTAGATTCTCTTTTCGTTTAAAATACAATTCAGTTATGTATATTGAATGTTTACGTAAATTCTCAAAAAGCTTAAATGATAAGCTGACAATTCTGTCATCTATGTAAATGTTTTATACAAATTCGTCATAATGTGAAATTACACTAATAATAATGATTATATTTTACATTATATATCATAGCTGACTAAAATCAATATGTCATTAACTGTACAACATAAGTTCTGAATATCTGAAAAGAACATACGCATAGCAAACATTTTTCAGTTGTTACCGCTTAACTAATATGTTTTACATTAAGGAAACCACGCAAAACCAGCAACAGGCCACAGGTCAACAAATTACTCCATTTTTATTTTTTCATACACCACACGAATAGCGTGCTTCTCAACTGCACCCCCACGTTCATTGTTTTCACTCTCATCTACAAAACAAATCTGTCGACTTTCCTGGTCAAAGGTATACACTAATTGTTCGTGAACAGGCTTTTCAGTAGCTGCCTCCCTCCCAAACAAATAATATAACATACACTTGGCTTTCACCAAGCGAAGCTTCAGACAATTACAAATAAAAGCTACGATCTTCACATACTTCGTTGTCTGTTCTTTTGCTTTGGCCCCATTTCCTTTGATCCTCGCCTTGAATTCTCCACAAGTGAAAATTCTCTCCTGCTCTTCCGTCCCATCCTGGACTCTCCCAGAAACGTCAACCTCCAGCTCCATAGGGGCTTTCACGTCCAAAAGAAGAGCATCGGGCCGCGCGAAGACTTTATGTAGAAGGGCATGGACATAGCATGACATGGTCGGTTTACTTTCTACAAACGGACGGACGTTTTTGGTTCCCCCCTGTTGATGAAATGTGTAGTACTCTTCCTCTTCCAGTGGACAAACGTCCGTCAAAATGGCTTCGAGACGTTTGCATAAATCTTCCGATGTTTTGATGTCATTTCCATTCTTTTGTCCGAGCTTTGGTTTTCTTCCTAGTGTCTTGCGCAGACGACATACAGCAAGATGCGCATCAACTTTATTGTCGACAGCTTTTCCTTCGGAGATGTTTTGAAGCGATGTCACCAATACTTTCAAATCATCAGAGGTTTCAAAGGTATTCTGCAAAACGTGTTGCGTATACTCCTTGAGTACTCTCACGTATTCCAGGAATACAGGACTGATACATTTTGCGAGAAACAGGGACTTAAATTTCTTGTTTCTTTCGTCGGTGACACACGTAGTTGTATACCAAATTCTGAAAAACAGCATTTTCAGATCTTTGCAGTATTTCAGCTGAAAGCAATCCGCGAAATCAACCCCTTCTTGCGACTCCAGTTTATGTCTTACCAGAGATTCCGCCAAGGCGTCGTCAGTATGGTCGAGTTCGGACGTTTTCTTTGAGAAGTCTTGGCGCATTGATTTAATTTCAACTTTCAAATTCTTATCGGACGTTTCGGAAATGCCCTTCAGTTTACTATCCACCCAGTCCACCAATGTCTGGTGACCTTTAAACGACTGCATAAATTGTTTTCTGATTCTCTCCGATTCCTCAAGTTCTTTTTGTAGTTTAAGCCTCTCCTCCATCTCGACTTCTTGTACTTCTTTAAAATGTGACATGTTTTCCTCCACTTGAACCAGACGCGCCGTCATCTCTTCTACTTGATCCGACGATTCACTCAAATTCCTCTCGATGCACGCGGTTTTCTGTTCAAATTCGTTCTTGATCTCATCATTTTTCTCCTTGATGTATTTATGCGCCCGTTTTGCTTGATCTTTGGCGTTTTGAATTTCTTTTGTCGCAGAGGCTACGTTTATGTCTTGCTCCTGAAGCTTCTCACGTAGATACAGGCATTCTAGCTTGAGGGTCTCCTGGTTGCCATTCACATCCTGAAACTGAGACGAGACGGACTGTCTCAATCCTGCCAGTGCACCTTCCACATATGACCCTTGCTCGCTGACTTTGTCGTTCAGGGCATGGCACTGGCTTTGAACACTCTGGAGTTCGTCTTGCACGAGCCGGAAATCATTTTGTAATTGTGTCACTAAAATTCAATACGATATAATAATAATAATTTTCATCAATTCTATCCACGTAAAGAACATTCAGGTTTTCAAATCACGACGGAATATTTGGGTACATTTCTAAAACAAAAAATTAACGACTATAGAAGAACATTGCTGGATGCAGCTCTGTTACCTGTCTCACTGTATTGTCTCTCTGATTCCACTAAGGACGAATCTAAAATACCACTGACCTCGCCTGGGTTTTCGTTAGCTGATGATGAGAAAAAATGTTAATGTGATCATCAAAATCGAACTGTACGAAGCTATTTTTATTTTTTTAATAACGACATTTCGATTACACACACGGGGCAATAGAAGTGTCACCCCTACTGAACTTATACTTTGGGGGAGATAAATGACTGTGGAATGATATGCTCCTGGTATCATTTTATTGACATCAAATTTCACAAAAAAAAATGAGAACAAAATATACATTCTACCAAAATATGCAGTTTCAAGTCCAAAATTAGTACTTAGTGGCATAGCCACGTGACGTAATAAAAGCTGCCAATCTGCGAGGCAAGGATACATATATACATTTACAAATTGTCTGATGCGTTCAGGGCTTAAGCATGGCCTAAGCATGAAACACTGAATCTAACAGAGTTTGTCTCCTGGTTGGACGGGCATTTGTCAAAAGTTTTGACACATCATTCCACACATTTTCTATTATGTTTGCATCCGGACCCTGGGCAGGCCACACCACCCTGCGAATGGCCTGTTGGTAAAACCAATCATCAACTGCTATGGGTCTGTGACAAGGAGCATTGTCATCCAGGTGAACAAATGGATGATTCCTGTCACCAAACATGTTAGTAATAGATGGTAGCAAGCCTAACTCCAAAACATCGATATATTTCTGGTGATTCATGTTTCCATCAACCACTATCAATTCAACCACGGCATGGATGCTGATGCAGCCCCACACTATGATGGATATTGCTGCTCCGGGTTCGAAAATTCAGTGCATGTGGTTCAAATGCTTAACCAGCAGTTCGCCAGCATCGGACCTGTCTGTCATCAGAGGTCAGACCAAAGCGACACTCATCAGAAAAACTATTCAACATTGGTCAAAAAGGTTGTCCCACCCCTATTTCCATGTACTTTTATTTACAAATGATCACCCCACAGCTTAATAGACCTTTCTTTACATCTGTGGAAATCACAGTGAAGAATTGGATTTGAGGGGGTACCTGTTACAAATTTGACTAAATGGTATAAAATATGCGTATTTTTGCCACTATATTGTATTTTCTAAACCATTAATCATGTTAGAAATGGTATCTGGAATAAAAAGCACCGTTTATAACAATTTAGATCTTTGAGGTGATTATTTGTAAATATAAGTTCATAGAAATGGGGGTGGGACAGCCTTCTTGACCAATGTTGTATAGGAACAATTGTCATGGACTGTCCGGTTCCAGATCCTTTTGGCATTAGTTTACTCTACTTTGCCTGTTTTGTAACAATATAAGAGGTTTCAGTCTTGCCGACCTGGTGCACACTCTCTGAGCATATAGCCGAAGCCTAGCAGTTTTCACAGACAGATTCTTATGTGAGAAATTGTTCCACTGTGTTGTCAACTGACAAGCAATGTCGAACTTTGACAATCTGGACATCCAAATCAGTAGTCGGTCTTCACGGCCAGTAGTTTTTCTAAGACGACCCACCAGAGACAATTTCTCTTGATCCAGTGTTTCTATACCGAGACCTGGACTCTCTGCACGGTTCTGACTAAACAATTCAACTGTATCGATATTCTGTCATTGCTTATATTCCGCCTATAACCTGACGTCTATAATCATAAGATAATTGCATGTATCTTGCAGCATTGGAAGAAGACAGGAATAACATTTGCTGTACATGTACAAGACCAACAATACAATTCCATGGCACAGCGGTTTTATACTCATTAGTCACATTTTAAGTAGACAGGCATTATAACTACACAAGATCTGCCTACTTTGATTACTTTGATTTAGGAGGTGACACTTCTTTTGTCCAGTGTGTGTATTTAGACTTTATGTTTTACTTTACTTGATCGAATACCATTTTGATGAATATCACAGAATGAACTTGGTGAAGCAAACTTTTAAAAAAGAGAAGACCTTTGCTTAATACAGTCGAAAATCGTACCTAATTCTGTTTTTTCTACATCAAACGTCAGGATAGTGCCACTTTTGAGTCCATAATCAGACAGGGCGAGATCGTCAGCCATCTCCCTTCCTGCATACGAGAGATGCCGGTCTTCGAGAGATATATTTGCTTCTTGCTGTATTCTCATTTTCACGGAAGACACAGTGTCAGACAATCTCACTCGGAAGGATGCAACCCGTCCTTGTTTGGTTTGGACGTGGACTTTGATACTTTCACGCGGAAGCAGCTTTAATGTTGTGTTGTCTGGAATGCTCAAGTCACACAGTGTGTTTTCGTCTCTTAGAACCTAGATTGTAAAATGCATGTTTAAGTAAAATTATCTAAATAAATAAATAATTAAATAGAGCATACTGTTATCCGCTCTTTTCGGTAAAATATGAATAAACGAATGTAAGAAAATATTGTTTCAGTTGTATTACCGCAAAGCTACATGTAGAATGAAACTCTGGAATTCTGAAACAGAGTGATGTACTGATGGAAATTGACCACGTTGGCAACTGCCCGACCTTGACGCCTTTTCTGCTCTATATCGAAATTTCTTCATTAGTATACAGTATAATACATATATCTTCTTTAGTATTAATATCAAATATATTTACTTTTTGTCCGTGAAATAATGTCTGTTGTCCTTGAGGAATGCCAGTGATGGTTTCGATTTCATTTTTGACCTCGCCGACCTTAGCTCTGTCAGACAATCGCAGGGACACTGGCTGGTCTTGCCGGGTTAAATCTTTATATTTGATAGTTATATCGCTCATCTTTTAGCCTGGAACGATGAAAAAAGCGTAAAACAGCAATCACAATGAATGCTATAAACTATAACTTTACAATCTGAGTCTTCACTTTTAATTAACGTATTTTGCCTAAAAAACCTTTAGAAATTACAAGGATTTATTCTATATCAGATATTATCTTAATCTGAACAAAAAGATGCTCATATAAATTTTATCTACTGACGTGGCACTGTTTATAGTTATTTAGACTTTGTCAGTGACACCATCTACCAAATTCACAAATTTTAAAAAACATTGTTGGTGACAGATAAGACGATTTTCGATCTCAACACAAATGTCGATGGCGTCAGATTATGTTCCACCATTCCCGCCGAATTTTACAAATATGTACACAGTGTCACCTTAGGGCAAAATACCATCCATAGCCGTTTTGCCCCGATCACTGGGCATTTTGCCCCTTTTGCCATTTTGCCCATCTTTTTTTCAATACAAACAGTACTGAAAAGATGCGCCAGTGCTCGTCCATGAATGATTAAAAAACGTTTATTCTCAGTTAATACACTTACGTGCTGAAAGCCATAATTTGTTAATTTCGTGGGTATACATGCTTATAAATGTATTTCTTTTTATAATATTAAAATTTCTGGGTACATGCTTATATTTCTTTATAAAGGATGAGTGCGAATAAGGGGGTAAAAGTACCCACCTTTGTACATGAAAAATAAATTGTGAATGAATGGAAAAAAAGTGATGGCAAATTAAAGTTGGGGTCTTACACTTTTATAATCCACTTAAATTTTTTTTTTTTTGAATTTAAAATATAAAAAATTAAGGTCAAAATGACCTTGTCAAATATTCATGAAAATGTGTGTTTTAGGGGGGTTCTGAAGAACAATGCTACATATCTATAGTAATAGTAAGGTGACAACTGTGAAATTTTGTAATTGGGTACAGAAGGTGCCCGTGTAAAAAAGAAAGGCCAATCATTGTTTGTGATCAATATTTTGATTGCTTTACTCGTACATGTAGTGCTGATTGAAAGAAGAATTTCACAGTGACTTGAGGTTAAAAGATGTTCAATTTTTATATGAGCCCCTGCCTCAGACAAGCTAATTTTTCACGGTTGAAAAGACATGAATATAAGGTGAGATATATGTGAAAATCAGCTTGTCTGAGGGTTGGGCTTGATATGTACACAAACTAAATAGGGACATTTTCAGTCCATATGCTAGCAGTCGGCCATGTTTATTCCTGCAATCAGGTAGCTGCTACATGCTTACATAGGATGGCTAGGCAGATACAGTGAATCTTTTGTACAAAAAGAACACCCCCCCAAAAAATGTAGGCCTTTGAAAGGAAAATAGGGGTTAGAGTCAGTAAAATATTTTCAATTGTAACCAAAATAGGAAAAGTAATTTTCATGTAATGCATGCTATCAAAAAAAAAAAAAAAATAATAATAATAATAATAAATAAAAAATAAATAAACAAATAAATAAAAAATAAAATAAAATAAAATAAAATAAAATAAAATAAATAAATAAATAAAAAATGGAGAGGAAATAGAGTCCAAATACAGTAAGTATATCTTATTTCCATTCTTATTTCTTAGGATTAAGAAAGATTAAATGGAAAATGTGCTTCAGATATTCAAAGTTATATTAATTATCATAATAGCAGATGTGCATTGTGGTGGCTCCTACTTTTTATAGAGACCCATGCTGTATTAGACTTCTACACATAAGGGTGGCTTGACCCAACCCCCTCCAATGGGCATGAAAGTACATTTTGTACAACCAAAATTGTTGTGTAAATATCCCCTTTTACGTCTATTTTGCACAAAAAGTAAGATAAAAGGCTCCATCACACACACCCTAGCTTTGTTACTTATGACCTAATCTTCTACACCAGCACTATTCATAATAGCTTTGTAGAGTTTTTTCTTTTATTTATCAACAAAATGCTGTGAATGGCTTCATTTGTCAAGAAGATCAGTGAAAACCTATTGACTTGGTAAATAGTCCAAACAAGACACCAACAGCCTATACTAATTACCAGACGATTACCAGATAAAGCAAGCTAGCCAATATAATGATGAGCATCTGCTAGATGGCCAGTTTGAAATCAGTGTATGCAAGGATGCACCTGATTTAATCAGAGCCAAAATAGTTAATTAAGGCACACCTTTAGCAACCAGTACACATTATGGATACAGACTTCCCATAGCAAAACTAGACCCATCAGTGGATGGTACTGACA